TTTGTAATTTTGGATCAAAAAATGACCCAGTCTAAGCACAGTCTAAACGCCACTCTGGTACCAATGTTTACCCAAGTGCGTTTAGACTGTTTATGTACTGGAGCACTTTTCCAATTTTGTGAAAACTATTGAAAAATGTGAAAATGCCGCCAAGCTAGGCACACTATAAGTGAAAATGTCGCACGGAATTATATGCAAATGCGTTTAGACTGTGACTATGCGGGAGCACTTTTTCAATTTTGTGTAAATTAGGCAACTATTTTTTGAAATTGAATTCGAAATGAAATGACGATTGTTAATGTCCTGGAGATAAATTGATTTATGATTTCCATTCGATTTTCTCAGATATAACAAATGCAAAAACAATGAAAGTTACAGTATTTGTAATGATATATTTGAAAACGTTTAAAATTTCTCGAATATTTCATTACGGTACGGGAAGTTTCAGCAATTTGCCTTAAGGCACGATGCCATAAACCACTAGTTAAAAATTTCTTTTGCGGTTATTATTATTTCGAAAAATCTTAATCCTTACCTCGTTGTATCCCATAAATCCGTCCTCCCTGGTATAAGGACCCCTAAAACCAGCACTCTTTGCAGACAACCCCAAAGGCACTTCAGAACCGTCTAAAGCGTCCCAGTGTTGCTCCACCACGAAGGTTCTACCGTAGAACGGTATACCCAAAACCAGTTTTTCTGGAGGTGCACCCAATTGCAAAAGGTAATCCACTGTAGTCTCCTGTAATAAAATTTTATTTATTAACTAGCTGACCCGGCAAACGTTGTTTTGCTAAGTAAGGTATATTCTAAACGATTTCTAGAGAATTAAAAAAATTAATACTTTAAGTGTATAAGGATGTGTGTTTCAATGCTATATAAAATGAGGTATTATAAAAGTTTTATACACTTTCTATAGAAAACATGGTATAATTCATTTAATCAATCCAAGTCTTTTTTGGTCTTTCGACTTATTGATTACGTTTCAAGTTTTTCAGATTCTTTTTGGATTCTGAATTTTCTGTATACTACTAAATAATACTACTGAGCTTATACAAAATTTTTAAATTTCTGCGAGTAGACATAGAAAATGAATTAAGTATTTCTTCTTTGACCTGCTTTTTGAAAAGTTTCAAGTAACTTTCGATGAATTAATGTAAATGTAAAAGCCCAATATGACTTTGAGCAAATATTAATTATATTATAATAATCAAACCAACTATATCACAATAGATAACACATTTCACACGAACAATTATATGACTAAGTTCAGTAAAACTGCCGGCTACTTCATAATTGTAGAAATGTGCTTTTTTTGCTGTCTTTCAAAAATCTAGACTTGTTTACTCTATAGGCGGAGTAACTTGGAACGGCCAGGTGGCAAACATTGTTAATGTCTTATTTTAATTTTAAAGGTATTTTACAAAACAATTACATTTTTAACTTATGCTAAAAAACTACCAACGGAAGAAAATACTTTTATTGTGGATTTTCAAAGATTACCGTTTATCTACCGATAGCAAAGACATGAGAATCAAGGTTATAGCTGGTTATACATCTTTTTCCCTCTACTTTCAAATAGCGTTGTTGAACAATGCTTAACTTTACTGGTTTTTAACCCCCTGACCTTCATATATTATTATCTATTTTTCGATAAATTCTGGGAAATTAAAATTGGGAAAATGTTATTCGACAAAATATCCCTTTGATCGATGCCAAATTTAGGTTCTGAATTGAAATAACATGATTAAAAAATAATATATCCTAGAAAATGTTTTATAAATACCAATGAGTATATAATTATACAAATGAGATCTTTCAGAGCACCGTGTTTGGGAAAAATATGATTTGCAGAAAAAAAGAGTGCTACAACGCCAAAAGGTGCATTCTCATATTAACATTTCAAGAGAGTTGATATTTTGAGTTTCTAGTAACACTTGCGGCCCGCTTACTAACATTTTTATATATAAATAAAACTACAAACAAAGCTACTTACTACAATCATAATTAATTATAATATTTACGTAAAATATCCTATTGAACGTAATTGAACATCATCTGTCAAAAACGTTTGACATTTGACGTATTAGCCACCGTCCATTGTTTTATTTAAATTACGCTTCTACAAAAATTTTCAAATAAAAATGTAAAGTTTCTACGCGGATTTGAAATAATCTCACCTTTTGGACTTTCTCTGGATTGGCACGAATTTTTCAAGAATAAGACTCGCCAAATCGGTTTAGGCGTTTTCGAGTTTTACTTACGGATAACATACTTGTTAGACATTTGAAAGAGATCTCCATTTTTATATAAGATATTTGCTTTAGTTTTGGGGACCTATTGATCTTTTTTTTTTACTTACGATGCTCAGATCACCTCCTTTGATTGGAGCGTTGCCTCCAACTCGTCCGTCCCATGCTCCATGGTAGTCGTAGCACATTAGGTGGAAGAAGTCTAATAAACTGAGAAATTGATAAATAAATATTTGAAATGACGATAATGATGATGATGATGATAATGTTGTCTTGTCCCTTACCCTTTGAGTTGTTTGATGTCGTATGCCAAGTCTATGGTTTCCCTGGAGGCTCCTAAGGCAGCCGTCAGGATGTAGCCGCGTTTGTCGAACTCTTCTCTTAGTTCCTAAATAATAATAATAAGTTAGTCACGTGATCAAATACATTAAAAACAATATTTCGATGGGCAAAATTTCGATTGATAATATCTTTATTGAAGGAGGGTGAAAATTTATTGATGCCAGGATTTTTTAATTTAGCGTTGTAAAAAATGAAATAAATATATTGATCAGATTTTTACTGTATAAGGGTGAAAATTTAGGGCTACGTGAATTTTTGGACTTTTATTTAGTTATTGTAAGAAAATTAAATAGAAAAATTAATCAAATCTGTACAGTCTGAGGGTGAAAATTTAGGATCTCATAGATTTTGATAAAAATTGATCAGGTCTTTACTGTAAGAAGGTGAAAATTTAGGGTCGCATTGATTTTTTATTTAGCTTTGTAAAAAGGTAAATTTTTTACTGTAGGATCTGTACTGTAGGAGGGTGGAGAAGTCCAGGGTTTAATTTGGCATTGTAAAATAATGAAATGAATAAATTGATCAGAACTTTACTATGGGAGGGGTAAAAGTTGCATGGATTTTTTATGTAGCATTGTAAAAAAATGAAATGACAAAAATGATCAAGGTGAAAGTTTAGTGTTGCCAGGATTTTTTAAATAGGCATTGTAAAAGATGAAACAAAAAAATTCTATGTATATATTGATCAGAAATTTACTGTAGGACAGTGAAAATTTAGGGTTTTAAAAGAAATTGATCAAATCTTTTCTGTACGAGGGTGAAAATTTTCGGTTTTAAAAAAATTGTTGAATCTGGTCTGTAGGAGGGTGAAAATTTTGGGTTTTAAAAAAAAACTAATCAAATCTTTACTGTAGGAGTGTGAAAATTTAGGATTCCATAGCTTTTTTTTTATTTAAAAAAAATGTAAATATTCTCGATTCTGACTATTTTTAGGGGGAAGTTCATTAATTACATATGTGAGGGGGGGTTGATAAAAAATCACGAAAAATCACGTGTGGGGTCTAGCAAGATAGCACGTAAATTTTTTTTTCAAAAAAAAAAAACTAAAATTTTGCGTTTTTTTTTGAAATTCGAAAAATGGGTTCGGAAACTTTTACGTAACTAAAAATACAAGTTTGGTGGGGGAGGGCGGGTTTAATTCTAAAAATCACGACGTATAACCAAGGGGGAGGGGGAGTTCAAAAATTCCTAGAATATCGATCACGCGATCAATGGATGCCCCCTGACGGGAGTGAAAAATAAATATTAGATTATTATAATAAAAATCGGCCAAGCTGTTTGAGAGATATATATATATATATATATATACACTGATTATATATATATATATATATATATATATATTTATATATACATTGTCTATCTATGTGTAAATATGTTTATTTATATATTTATTTGTCAAAAGAGCAAAAAAAACCGGTTTGTTAATAATTCCACAAACGCTTTCATATAAAGGTCAAACGTGATTTTGATCACATTTTCGATACTTTCATTATTCTATCGACTCATAGAGCATGTTATCGTTTCTCTAAATATTCTAGAATGACATTTGACCTATTGGCAAGTAGTCTTAAATGAAATCTTTCGTCTTGTAATAAAATGGAATAGTTAAAAAAAATACCATTCATTTTTGTCAATCCAATCTTAAACAGATACAAATTAAAATAATGAGTATGAATGAAGATAAAAGCAATAAATGAGACATGAACATTAAAAAATACACAAAAATAACAATATAATAAAAACAATTTTAACTTTTTGGAAAATCCAATTAACGCGACATATAAAGAAGACGTTTTTAAGTTAAAATTTCATTTTTGAAGTTAAAAGTTTGCATTTTTCTTACTATATATAAACTTTTCTTTAAGGTTTCGTACTAACCTTAACCAAGAGCACAAAGTTACGTTTGTCTTCGGGGGCTCCGCCCCTCTTTCCGGGGAATTCCCAATCCAGATCGAGACCATCAAAATTGTATTTTCTGAAATAATAATAATAACAGAAATATTGGATTAAATTTTTAATTTGTTGTTACAATTTCAAGTTTTTAGAATATTTAGCTGTTTTTGGTAGAAGGGTAAAAATGTAGGGTTGTATGGATTTTTTAATTTTCAGAAGTTTTAGAGGTTTCTGAACATTTTGGCATACTTTAGAAAAAATAATATTTGTGTGTATGTGTGCGCGTGTGTGCGGATACAAATTTTCGTCGACGATTTCGCCAACACGGATCAACCGATTTGATTAATTCAAAAAGCATTCGATTCCTGCTAATAAGGAGACGTGCTCATTAGTTTTTCGCTCTAAAAAAACTTTCTTAAATAAAACCCGTAAACCAATTTCCATGAAGAATATTTTACATATGTCATATTTTGAGTACGATTCACGAATTTTAATGAATCATTTTTTTTATATTTAAACAGTTTTATCAAATTCTGGAAATAAACAATGACATGTCGACATAAATTGTATTGGTTGATATAAAACCGATTTTATCTTGACGTGTAAATTTGAAAAGTTAATATTTATTTAACACCTGACATTGTTCGAACATTTGTGTGTATTTGCATTTACTTGCACTTTCTTCTCATTTTGTTAAATTTATGTCAAATCGTATGAATTACTATATCCTCAATATCTTTGCAACTTGCCAATAGATCCTTTTGTAACTCATTTTTTTATTCAATTTTATACTGCAATCTGTATATATTATTACGTTAAGCAGAGAATGCTAACAAGTATATGGTAAATAATAGACTACAATTCAGTAGATACCCTCAGTGGCGTATCTACTAGAGCTAATTAAAATATAATTAAAAAAACCTAAAAATAAAAGGAAATAAAACAATAAAATATAGTAAAATAAAAGTATTTTAGTTAATCAAACTATATTAGGTCTCCTGATATTTTTCTTTTAAGCCTGGTCGGCTGGCCTTCCTGGTATACACGACATGCTAGTTGGTTAGGATGGACGTCTATTTTGCTTTTATAATTGTTGGTGACCAGTGGCTTAGTGTTTTTTTTTAACTCACTTGATGAATTCCAGGGCGCTATGTATGAACCTTCGTCTCCTGTCAGGGTCAGCTGCCATTTTCGAGTAATTTTCGCTACCCTCTGTCCATCCCCCGACAGCCAGAGACACTTTTAGATGGGGCGCCCTTCCTCGGAGGGCTGTGATGCGCTCGTAGCCGCCCTTGCCGTAGTCGTCCTTCAGGTCCTGCCAGGGGTCTAAGAGAAACAAAAGTCAGAAGTGAGTAGACTCATCAGTAAATTATAATATTTAATGCGAACTGCAAATACACTTGGACAAGCACGAAAAGTTTTATCCAAATTTGACTAGCCGTTTAGAAGCAGTTCAATGACATACATACGTATAAAAAATTATATATATATGGCGCTAGTGGGCCATATATTATTAATTAATTAATTCTTGAATGAAATCGCAATAATTTTATTTCAACTCGATAATGACTGTTTATTAATGTCTCAATTGATAAAGATGTTGATATTACATTAAATCAAATCTAAATTTCGTTCACGAGAAAACGCTCGTTGGCAAAAAACTCGATACAATATTTTCGATCGTTTTAAAAAGCGCGACCATAATATTCGATCGTATAAAAACAATCAGATCGTTATAGCTTGCTTGATGCCAGATCCGAATCAACGTAGCCCAATATAATTTAGTTTTGTCATCAATTGACGTTATTCAACTGACATCTGTCATATGGTGTTCATTCCGCCATTGTCATCAATTGACGTCCTTCAACTTCATATGGTGTTCATTCCGCCATATAACTCCCCTTCAAAAGAAAAAGAGGTATCCGGTAAAAATAAATGAATTTGATTATTAAAATTTGAAGGAGACTTTTTTAGGCTTCATCTTTTTTGGAGGGTCAATCGATAACTCCAAGTTATGTGATTTAAATTCTTGAGATGAGCTTGGTTGACTGTTATCTATTTTAACTGTGTATGCTGGTTTTAGTCTGTCAACCGATATGTTCTTATCAGTACCATCCATAGAAATTTTGAACACTTTGTCTGAAATTCTTTCTATAATTTCATATGGTCCACTATATGGAGGCTCAAGTGGTTTTCTAATATGATCAGATCTTACAAATACATGAGTGCATGTATTTATGTCCTTAAGCACAAACATATTGGCTTTATTATGATGAGCTGTGGCTGTAGGTTTAATATCCCGCATTATTCTTCTGTGGTAGTCCAGAAATGCTTGTGGATCGGATGACAGTTCTTTAGTTGTGAAAAATTCGCCTGGTAGTCTTAATGTGGTTCCATAAACCATCTCAGCAGGAGATGCTTTAAGGTCTTCTTTGTATGAAGAACGTAAACCTAGTAAGACTACAGGTAATACTTCGATCCAAGGCTCAGGAGAGCACATTAAAGCTGCTTTCAGAGTTCTATGCCAGCGTTCAACTAGGCCATTGGACTGAGGGTGATATGCCGTTGTCCGTATTTTCTTAGCACCTATTGCATTCATTAATGATTTGAATATAGCTGATTCAAACTGGCATCCTTGGTCGGATGTTATCACACATGGTGTACCAAATCTTGATATCCAGTTTGAAAATAGGGCTTGGACAATCGTGTCTGCAGAAATGTCCTTTAGAGGAACAGCTTCTGGCCACCTTGTAAATCTGTCGATGATTGTTAGGCAATAAGGATATCCATTAATATTAGGCAATTTGATTATGTCAATGTGAATATGCGAAAATCTGTTTTCAGGAATAGGAATATGGATAGGAGTGAGGTGATTATGTTTATGAATTTTGGATTTTTGGCAAGGAATGCATTGACGTGCCCACATGGTGACGTCTTTACCAATCCCAGGCCACACATACCTTCTTCGCAACTCCCTTGAAGTAATCCTTATGCTTGGGTGTGCATTTCCATGTACAATGTCAAAAGCAATTCTGCGAAGACTTTGTGGAAGGTAGGGCTTCACACAATTATCTTGCCTGTTGCAATAAACTGGATACCCCCCTAATGTCAATTTTTGAAGATTAATAGAGGTGTTGCCGTTCAATATAGTTTGCATTTCAACGTCCTTACTCTGTTCTTGCGAAATTTCCTCTTCGGTTAGCTTTGATGGCATTTGAATGGCATTGATCCTGGACAACGCATCAGCAACAACGTTCTGATCACCCTTCACATATATAATATCAGTGGAAAACTGTGATATGTATTCTAGCTGCCGTCGCTGACGATCTGATGCTTTCTCCAGTTTTTGTTGAAATGCGTGTGTGATTGGCTTGTGGTCTGTCTTGATTATAAAGTGCCTTCCTTCTAATAGATATTCAAAATACTTTAAAGCCGCAAAGATGGCTAGTAGCTCGCGATCGTAAGTTGAATATCGCTGTTCAGTAGCTGTGAGCTTTCTGGAAAAGAAACCTATAGGGTGCCATGCACCATTTTCTTCCTGCTCCAGAGTTGCTCCAATGGCTGTTGTGGATGCATCTGTAATTAAATTAATATTTGCTATACTTGAAGGAAAATGAAGAAGAGTTGCATTTGCTAGAGCTTCCTTCAGCTTGCTGAATGCTGATAATGAATTGTCATTCCATTCAATTTGAGTCTTGTCGTTTTTAACTGAGGACTTCACATACTCATAAAGTGGTGCTTGTATATTTGCTGCCTTGGGTATTGATTTACGATAATAGTTTACCATTCCCAAAAATCTTCTGAGTTCTATAACTGTCGAAGGTTTTGGATAATTAATAATTTTCTCTACTCGGTCTGGTGAAGGAGAATATCCTGCAGCACTCAGTTTGTAACCGAGGAAGTTAACTTCATCTTTTCCAAAGGCACATTTCTCTAAGTTTATTGTAAGAGAATATTCCTGTAGCCTCTCAAAAACCAATTGAAGATGACGACGGTGCTCATTCATATCAGTCGACATTACCAGGATGTCGTCTATATAAATGAAAACAAAATTAAAATCTTGGAATATGTGATTGATAAACCTCTGGAATGTCTGGGCAGCGTTTTTGAGTCCAAATGGCATACGTAGATACTCGAAGAGTCCCCATGGTGTGATAATTGCAGTCTTTTGTATATCCTCTTCATGCATGGGTACTTGGTGGTAAGCTTTTTCTAAATCTATTGTAGAAAATACTTCTTTTTGATGAAGATTATTGAATACATCTTGTATTAATGGTGGAGGATACCTGTCGGGCAGCGTGTTTGCGTTCAGCCTCCTGTAGTCTCCACACATTCTGAATGTGCCATTCTTTTTGGGAACCATGTGAATAGGGCTTGCCCATGGACTGTTGGAAGGCCTCAAAATGCCCCTATTCAGGAGATCTTGTATCTCGGACCTGGCTGCAACAGCCTTTTCTCCGAAGATCTTCCTGAATCTGGAAGCTAATGGTGGACCTGTTGTGGTTATCCTGTGGGCAAAAAGAGATGATTTATTATTGGTGGTTACCTGTGGCTTTGTTATTGCGATGTATTGTGCCAGTAAATCCTTGAAGGGCTCTGCCGGGTTGACAGTGGAGATGTTAACTTGCTGTGCCTTGAGTACCTTTCCATCAGAGGTAAGGCCTGTAGTCGAATCAATCAATCTTCTACCCTTCAAGTCTATTAATAAATTGTAGTTGCTTAGGAAATCAGCTCCTATTATGGCTGTGGCTACATCGGCAACAACAAACTGCCAGCTAAAGCTTCTGCGTAAAGATAAATCCAGCTCCAGAGTTCTCTTTCCATACGTGGATATTCTGCTAGAGTTTGCTGCAAATAGAACTAACTCTTCCTTAGGATGACCATCGGCAAACTTCTGAGCTGGTAAAATGGATATAACTGATCCTGAATCTATAAGAAATTGGATTGCCGTCTTTCTGTCTGATATATGAAGACGGAGCTCAGAGCAGACAGAATTTACTTCACCGTCATGGCAAGCTCCACTTAATGACGGTGAAGTAAGTTTTTTGACTGGTTTAGAGATTTAAGGAGGCAGGGCTCTTCACACTTTGTGGCCTTCTCCCCATATCTGTAATGATAGTAGCAAACCGATCCACGTGAAGGTGTCCTGGACCTATGTCGAGAACCACTTCTAGAACTTGACTGATTGAGTTGTTCACTTCTTGATCTTGACTGGTTGAGTTGTGATTCTTGCTGATCATTTCTCTGTCTTTCAGTGTTCAACATTGCCTTTAGTTCCTTGATTTCCTGGACGCATGACATAAGAAGAGTTTCGTGGCGGTCCAGTCTCTGTTCTACTGAAGACTTGTGTGTTGTGGACATCACATGTGATGTGGGGCTACAGTGATCGACTAAAATATCGGCAACTTCCGCCAGGGCTTCCGGACCAAGATGGCGAGAAACTATTAATTGTGGCCGAATATGGTGTGGCAGGCGTTCTGACCACAATTTAATTATGATGTCTTCACTGACCTCTCCCTTAGCCAAATTCATCATTTCTCGTAGGAGCTGTGATGGTTTCTTCTCTCCTAGAGTTAAGTTTTTTAATAGCTTGTCAATTTGCTTACCTCTAGATTCAGACATTCTGCTTAATATAGTGTTTTTGATATATTCGTATTTGCCTGTCATTGGTGGATTACGGAGGACATCCTGGATGAGGCGCAGTGTCTCGAAGTCTAGGGCTTTGAGTACTGCTGTGTACTTAGTATTGTCACTCCTGATCCTAGCAGACTGAAACTCATGTTCAATAACTAAAAACCATAGGTCTGGAGAATCTCCATTGAATGGAGTGAGACGGTGATTGTTAAATGCTGCTATATTGTATTGATCAGCATAACTGTCATGTTCATGTTCAGAAACACGAGGACTGCTCGTGTTAAAGATCGCCTCGTGATCCAGATCGATCAGAGATCTGTTGAGCGCTGTTTCGTCATTGACGGACGTAGATCGAGTCGACATGTTGATAAAAATTGGTATAATTTACCTTTATTAATTTACTTGTATTTGACAAGTGTTTTTCTTTCTCCGTCTGACGTCACCAATTATGGGTACTAAGACGTTGAGAATGTCTCTTGCTTAATGATTTCACTTACACGTTCGGAGTCACCAATTATGGCGCTAGTGGGCCATATATTATTAATTAATTAATTCTTGAATGAAATCGCAATAATTTTATTTCAACTCGATAATGACTGTTTATTAATGTCTCAATTGATAAAGATGTTGATATTACATTAAATCAAATCTAAATTTCGTTCACGAGAAAACGCTCGTTGGCAAAAAACTCGATACAATATTTTCGATCGTTTTAAAAAGCGCGACCATAATATTCGATCGTATAAAAACAATCAGATCGTTATAGCTTGCTTGATGCCAGATCCGAATCAACGTAGCCCAATATAATTTAGTTTTGTCATCAATTGACGTTATTCAACTGACATCTGTCATATGGTGTTCATTCCGCCATTGTCATCAATTGACGTCCTTCAACTTCATATGGTGTTCATTCCGCCATATATATATATATATATATATATATATATATATATATATATATACTAGATGACCCGACAGACGTGGTCCTGTACCCATATCTACATTTTTTTAATATCCTATACTAATATTTATTGAATTTTCATCTATATACATTTATACGTATATTTTATTAAGTCAGAGATATAATAATGAGAAATTGGTTGTTTTGTTTTAAATGGATTTATTAACTTCCCGTAGGGCAAGTTATAATAATTGCAAAAATATCTAAAATGAAAATTTTTATATATCTTTACGTTTCAAAACCTTCTGAACATTTTGGCATACCTTAGAAAAAATGGATGTATGTGTGTGTGTGTGTGTGTGTGTTTGTTCGGATACAAATTTTCGTCGACGATTTCGGGAATACGGTTGAAGCGATTTGAATAATTGAAAAAACCTTCGAATCGTATTGATAAGGAGACGTGCTGATTAGTTTTTGGCGAAGGCGGGTCTAACCGTTCCGAAGATATGGGGCAAAGAGTGCCAAAAACGGTAACTCAGTTTTTAAAAGAACGGAGCGTCCGATTTGAATAATTCAAAAAACATTTTATTTGTATTGACTAAATGAAGAACTGTTCAAATTTTTGGTCCAACGACTTTGGAGATATGGAGAAAAAAGTAAAAAAATGAGCCATTTGGCGGTCAAAAATGAACATTAGACATATGCACATCAAATTATCACATATTTTATAGAGATTTTAACAATAAGTATAATTTTGGTTTACATTCCCATGAGTTCCGTACCAATGTTTACGCGTTAGACGGCGACGCGGCGCTTACGCGCTTTGATATTTCGTCTTTATGCAGTTAAAGCAGTACGATTGCTTTGAAAAAAAAGTTCAGAATTTCCAAAATATTTCAAAATAAATGATTTAAGATAGAATGATTTAATATGGTTCGAAATTTTATTAAAAGTTTCAACTCATTGATCAACTTTTATTGATTATTATTATTGATAATTTTTAAATACTCGAATTTTGAATTGCGGTATGGAAAGTTCCAACAATTTGCCTTAAGGCACGATGCCCTAATTGCCTTAAGACAGTATTCCACTTACAGCTAGTTATCATTTAATATCATCTATAAATACACTTGGACTAACACAAAAAGTTTTATCCAATGATATACATCCATTCAGATGATTTATATATATTTCTACTTACCCAAAGATTTGAGACTATCCGTGGTAGCATTAAGACCAGCAAAAGAATAAATTAAATGAGTGCACAGGGTCGAATCGATGTCCTCTAAAGCGTAGGACCCTAATCCGGGTCTGTAGACTGCCCATGTCGCCACGTAACATACTACCACCTTTCCGTGTTCTGGCCCTAAAAAATAAAAAAATAATAAAACCATTACATACATGAACATTGTTAAGTTCTCAAAATCCGATTTGAAAATTTTGTGTTTTTTCGACGTTTCAAGTCATTCTGAATTGTTTGTGACCAAGTTAGGGCAAAGTAGGCGTGCAATAAATTGGCAACTTTCGTAGAAATTTGTTTTTGGTAAAAAATCCCATTTGCTAATTTCAAGTTTTAAGTCATTCTGAATAGTTTTTATGTATTTTTTAAAACTGTTTTTTACTGTAGACGTTTCGGAAACAGATACGTGCCATCTTCAGATTTAAAAGCATTTATCATTAAGGAAAATATTACTAAATCATTTTGAAACATTTTTCGTGGTGTTCCATTTTCTTATTATCTTATTTATTCTTATATCAAGTTTACGCTTTTACTTTCAAATTTTCAAATGTTTTTCCAATTTTCAGAAATCGTTCAGTATTTTTTTTTGCGTAAGATCTTGCACTTTATTTGTAATTATGATTTGTTATTTGACATTATGATGAAGAAACGTCTTGGCTGATCGTCGCCTTATAATTTTGTTGCAAAGGCCTAGCCCTCGAAATGACCTAAATTCCATTCCAGTTGTGGTGCATCATGCAAATAATAATATATTATTATTATCGAAGACACTTTGGAATTTTATAATAACAAAGGTTATGTTTAAATGTCGCATCGGCGTAATGATAACTTTGAGCAATATCGCCTTCAGGATATTTTGAGACATTTTCACTCTCAGAATAAATTAAAACCAATGTTATATATTTTGTTTTTAATTAGTTACTATTGTTGTGCATTAGGCAACTCCAAATTATATTTTATGCAATCGGGCAACACCGAAAATTTAAGGATTCTAGCTCAATTTATGCACAAACTGACAACGCTGCCCCAACAATATTAGATATATAGACAATTACCACTGTTTCCTCTGAAACTTGAAATTCCTTTTTTAATCTGAAAATTTAATTTGTTATTTTTATATTTTCCAGTCGTTTCAAGTCGTTTTGAATCGTTTGTAACTAATATTGAAAAAAATGTGTGTGTGAGGCAAAATTTGATCTATCGGCGTATTCTCAAAATTTGTTGGACCGATTCAAAAAATTCAAAAGCCATTTGATGAAACTCGATTAAAACCCACGTTGATTAATTTTCGACGATCGGCTGAGCAGTTTCTTTATGTTGCTGGAAAATTTCAAGTCTTATGGTTGTCATTCCAAATGGATAATATATAATTACCACTCCTAGATAAATAATTTTTGATTTACTCATTTATACTTAAATTTCTTCTCGTCGTTTCAAGTCGTTTTGAATCGTTTGTGACTAACTTTGAAAAAAATGTGTGTGTTAGGCAAAATTTGATCTATCGGCGTTTTCTCAAAATTTGTTGGACCGATTTAAAAAATTCAAAAGCCATTTGATGAAACTCGATTAAAACTCGCGTTGATTAACTTTCGACGATCGGCTGAGCAGTTTCTTTATGTTGCTGGAAAATTTCAAGTTTTATGGTTGTCTGAAACCAAAATGGCTAACATATAACATTATCTTATTTGAACTACAGGGCCCGCAAAATAACTTTTTTCAAAAAATGCTACAAAGCAAAACTACTGAATATTTTCTCAATTTTTTTTTTGAATTTGAATAATAAAGTTAATAATATTTTCAAATAAATGTTTAAGGATTCTGTCCGAATTTTAGTACAGTCTGGCAACACTTATCACCACTTCTAGAGAAATAATTTTTTATTTGTTAATTAAATCTGAAAATCCAATTTGATACTTAAATTTTTTCTCGGCGTTTCAAGCCATTCTGAATCGTTTGAGACCAAAATTGAAAAAGGTATAAGTGCGGGTAGAATATCGTATTTAGTGTAATTACTTTCAATTAATTAATTAATTTATTTATTACCCCGGAGGAACAGTTTATGATTGCGCCAGAAAAACCGATTTCTTTTTCTCGACGTTTTAAGTCATTCTGAATCGTTTGACAATGCAAAATTTCAAATTTTATCGACGTTTTCGTGAAAACGGCTGAACCGATTTCAAAAATTCAAAAGCCATTCGATGTATCTTGATAAGGACTCGCTTTGATTAGTTTTAAGAGATGATCGGCCTAGCCGTTAATTATAATAATAATTAAAATTATATTATGTATAATATAAGCAGTATCTGATCAGTTTATATCAGTTTTTAATCGTAACCATGGCAATTGACAATTGTAATTGCGAAAGCAACCAATCAGCTATAGGCGACGAGCACAATTGTCTTATTGTTAGTTTAAATTGGCTCATATGCAATTCATTTTAATAACTTGCCAGCAGGCATTTCTGATATTTTATTATATTTTACTGATTTTTTAAATAATTTTTTATACTTTATTAACCTGTTTTTGCGGCAACATTTTGCAGAAACAAACAGGAAACTGCGACGGCAACAAAAGCCGCATACAAATGTCTCATTTTATCCATTTTGGTAAATGTCAACGCACTCTAATTAGTTAATTATAATTAATTAGTTTTTTATGCACATAATTAACACGATTTTTGTAAACAATAATTAGTGATAAAACTGTATTTTTAATCCCAATTTAGATTGAACAGAGAGACAATGTGAAATTCATTTACTACCACTCACTTTTACCCACAATTGTTAACTTTATCTCTATTTGTTGTTTTTAACTCTTTTATTTTGCACTATTTTTACTAAATAATTTTTTTAACAGAGTTTTATTAATTAAGTTTTCGTTTATTTAGACTAATTTAATTTTTTTCTAGAGTTGTGTCCATATGTCGCGACCGAAAGAGAGCGTGCTTTTGTCGAGACTGATGGAAAGGTTGACTTCTTGTTCCCGTTTCTGGCGGACGAATTTCCGGAGGTTCTAAAACTTTTTTTGATTGGAAAAATAAGGTAAAAAACTGAAAAAATCTAATTATAAATATTCGAGTACATTTTGCTCGATTTTTATCAAAATCGTTCGACTCCTTTTTTGATTTATGTGCATTTTTTCGATTTTGGTACACTTTTCGTACAAATTGTTCGATTTAGAAAAATTATTAGATTAAATTATTTTTAAACAAATTATCTGCAAAAAATTTTAAACAAATAATTTATATTTAAACAAAATATACACATTATTTTCCAACTTCAACGCTTGATTTTGTTTAAATCGTAGTTTTTTTATCCACTTCGTTTGATTTTCGCTCAAATTATTTGATATATAGTATTTTTTTTTTTGATTTTTGTACTAATTGTTCGATTTTAGTCCACTTTGTTTGATTTTTGCGCATTTTTTTTTTTTTTTATATAGTTTGTTTTGTTTTTTTCATATAAGCTGTTCGAATTTTACTCATATTTAATTTTCATATAAATCTTTTAATACGTTTTCAAATTCTTTGATTGATTGCTCAAATGTGTAATTTTTGTCCAAATTGTGAAGTTTTTGGCCAAATTGTTCGATTTTTTCCCCTTTTTCAATTAATTTGGTCCAGATTATTGGATTTCACCTTGAGTTTTAGTTCATTTTTACCCAATTTGCTAATTTTTGTCTTAAATTGCTCAATTTCTTTTCAAATTGTTCGAATTTAATCCAAATTGTTAAAAATGTCCCCAAATTTAAATTTTCGATAAAATTGTTGGATTTGTTCCTTTTTTTGGTTCCTTTTAATTGGTTCAAATGGTTGTATCTTTTGGTTGAATTTTACTCAAATTGTTCAATTTTTATTCTAAATTTAGTTTATTGTTCGATTCTTTTCTATTTAATCAATTAGACCCAAGATATTGTTTTTTATGGTTGAATTTTACCCAAATTATTCATTTTTATCCTAAATTGCTCGATTTTTCCTAACTTGTTCGAATTTAATCCAAATTTTTGAATATATCTTCAAATTTCTATTCTCGATAAAATCATTTAACTTTTTTCCTTTTTTAATTAATTTGGTTCAAATTATTGGATTCTACTTCGTGTTTTGATTGAATTTCACCCAATTTGCTCATTTTTATCCTAAACTATTCGTTTTTTTTTCAAATTGTTTGATTTGAATTCAAATTGTTGAAAACGTCTCCAAATATTGATTTTTGATAAAATTGTTTGATTTTTGTCTAAAAACTGATACTAGTACCAGTACTATAGTACAATTTGTACTAATAGAAAATAATTTAAAAAAAAACATTAACCATTTTTATTTTATTTTTCAAAAATATTATATTTGCCTAAAATCCAGAAATTTTGTTTTTAATTAGTCGTAACTAGCAATTATTTATTATTATTTCAATTCAGTTATAATTTTAATTACAAATCTTGATCTTTTTAATATTTTTGATATGAAATTCTAATACTTTATTATTCAAAGTCTTAAATTAATTTTTTTAATGCGTGATTTTTTTGGAAATTTTTAATTTCATAAAAAAACTTTAATTAAAGATAATATTTTTTCAAGTTTAAATTGCTTGATTCCACTATTTATCATTTGGTAACTACATTTCTTATTTTTTTAAATTTTGTGTATTGATATATTATTTTCATATCTCAATCAGTCAAGAGGTATCTGGTATAAGAGATTATTAAACAATTTTCATATTTTCATATCATTTATGTCTATTTCATTCTACATTTATAAGCCATATAATTAAATATCTTTTCACTCTCTTTCGTCTTCAATTTCCTTATAATATTTCTTTATTTTTCTTTTGAAGTCTATGTCAATTTTATGAAACACTTGAATATTCTTTATACCTCCATTGAAAATTCTAACAAATTATAATTATAACGACTCTCGATTATGTTTTTCAAAAATATTTTTAAGAAAAAATTGAAATATCGAAAAACGTTGCTTTTTATAATTTAAATTACTCTATCAATTACTAATAAGAATATTGATATTATTAATTTCATCATCTAAAACGTTTGAGAATTTGTGTAAAATAGAGAATGTCCTGGGTGGGGACTTTGTAACGTTCTTCATTACCACTTCTTGTTCTTCTGCTTCTCCTTCTTCTTTTGTTTCGTCGACTTCGAAAGGTTGTCGAACTTAGGTCGAATTTTTCACATACACCTATTACCAGGCGCACACCTTTTGTATTTTAATTAGTTGATAAAAAAGGAAAACGACTGACTGATTGGATTACTAATTAGAGAAAAGATTGGCTTGGTAAAACATTGAATTTGAAATAAATAGATGAAAATTTTTGCCACTTACAACTAGTTTTTATCAATTCACATTTTAGTTATAGTTTTGTTTCTAAATTAATTGCATAATTCGTGCCAATTGATTCGTCTTTTCAAAGAACTTGGCATTATAAAGATGATAATGGAGGAGGTTCTTGTTAATTTAAATCGCGGATAGAAATTAACGAGGAGACGACTCATTCGTTAGAAGGAAATTGCACATTTGCACACATTTGCACTCATTGCACATTTATTGCAGCAACCCACGACTAAATTGGCTAAGGAATGAATCATAGAGATTATGAAGAATGTTGCATTGTTACTAACGATAAAGAGGCCTTTCTTAGGATCACCCTGATAAATGACCCTAGAAATGTATTATGTACCATGCTGCTTCTGATTATCTGAAATAATCATCAAATTTAATGAGTCAATTTTTGTAACAACTGGTAATTAATATTCGACTAATATAGCATGGTTTATAATTAAATAGTAGTAAAATTAGAATTTTAAATTTTTGAAAAGATGTAAAACAAACTAAAAATAAGTCAAAGGAGCCAAAACTCCCTATATGCATCCTGGATGCCAAATTAGAAGAAAGATTTTCGATCTTAATTATTATATTACAACTGTTTTAACTTGCTTGCGAATAGTATTTTTTTTTCTTTTTTTAGCGTCACAAAAATCTTGTTGTTAATCATGACAGATTTTTTCTTGCTCGACAGTGAAATCTCTTTTATAAATCCAGACCATCATACACAACTTGCTTATCACAAGAATTTCCTTTTTAATTTTCCGTAGGGCAAGTTATTGTCGTTCAAAAATCAAAATTGAATTTTATTCCATATCTTGATGTTTTGAAGGTTTCTGAACATTTTGGCATACCTCAGAATAAATGGATGTGTGTGTGAGTGGATGTATGGGTACAATTTTTCATCAACGATTTCGGGCGCACGGATCAACCGATTTGAATGATTCATTTACCATTTGATTTTTATTGATAGGGTGATGTGCTGATTAATTTTTGGCAAAGGCAGGTCCAGCCGTTTCGAAGTTGCGAAGCAGAAAGTGTAGAAAATAGAAATCGAGTTTTTGAGAGAAAGAAGCATTCGATTGAAATGATACAATAAATATTCAATTTGTAATGATGAGGAGAAGTGGTGATTAGACTTTGGCAATGGCAAGTCTAGCCGTTTTGGAGACACGGAGCTAAATATGCAAAAATGGCAGTTTTTGAGAGTACTAAGCGTCTGATTTGAATGATCCAAAGAAGTTTCTGATCGTTTTGACAAAATAATTGGTTTTGGAGAAAGAATTTTTTTTAAATGTTTGTTTTAATTTTTTAAAGAAATTTCTTAGAATTTTCAAATTGCCTTAAGGCACGATGCCATACACCACTAGTTCTTTATTTTAATTTGTTCATAAGTCTTTTATTATTTATTAAGTCAATTTTTTTTGCTTGTTAGTAGAGGCACGATGCCATACACCACTAGTTTTTTATTTTAATTTGTTCATAAGTCTTTTTTTATTTATTAAGTCGAAATTTTGCTTATCAGTAGAGTTTTTTTTTCCTTCTAAAAAATGGATCTATGAGTATGTGTGTATGTATGTGCGGATACAAATTTTCGTCGACGCTTTTGAGAGCATGGATCAACTGATTAGAATGATTCCAAATACATTGGATTGCTATTGACTGGAAGATTTATTTATTATAATATTATTTATTGAGTCGAGTATTTATACATATCAGAACTTTCATGCAACTTGCCTTAAGGCAAAACTCCACTTACACCTAGTTATACAAATATTCCTAAAAGCTTTGATAAAATATTTTCATTTAAAATTAACGGAAAACATAACAATAATTTATCTAAATAGATGGCGCCACGTAATTGTTTCTGACTTCACTTTTAACTTGTCCGGCGAAATTATTCTAACCTATCAAAACGTAATTCAAGTTGTCTTGCTATTTTGTTGTATTAACAAAAATTATTTACATATTGTTGTGTTTAATTAATTTCAACACTTACAGTGGTGTGTTTAAGAGTTTATTCCATCCATGTCATCGTCATGAAACCGAAACACATCCAAAACAAAACCAACAAACCACCAAAATGCAACCTTAAGAAAAAGCCTAAACTTCAAACCAAAACCACAAATCCAAAAATAGCAGAACAATTCGAAAAAATAAAACAAGTCCGCCTGAAACTAACCCAACAACTACAATCCGAACTTAAAACTTGTGACATCAAAAAACAAATCATAACCAAACAACAGGAACGCTTGTTTCCTAAATCACCACCTGCCATTGTCAAAAAAACTGTAGAAATCCCTATAAAGGAATTACAAAACGCTTTGAATGATTTGAACAAAGGCGAAATGGATAATCCTTATGTGGCCAACAAGTGTAAAAGGAGTATCGTAGATTTAGTTAACAGCAACCAAAATTCTGAGTACTCTTCTTGCTCGTATACAAACTTGTGTTACGAGATACACAAGTGTATTCTTAATCACGATTGGAAGAGCTTGACGGCATGCTTTTTGTTGCTGCTTGATGGACCTGTTTCTTTGCGACAAGTCATATGGAAGGTAATAATAGATACATGTATAAATATGTGTGCTCATATATACATATTTATTTATTTATTTATTTATTTATTTAAATATATAGCCGACAGATTACTCCAAGAGGACTCAAAAATACAGTTATTTTACATAATGAATAACAATTAAAATATATACAAAATTACAATATATAGTTATTAACATAAAATGCTTAACATAAAATTACATATTATGCAGAATGTAACAATATTATTTATAAACAGAATAAGATAAAATAATGAGATATTTGAAAAGAAAATAAAAAGGTTAACTTGTGCAGATGGAGATTATTTGATTAGGTAAAGTGTTGTGAATATCTATTTCATTATTAATTAATTTAAAGTTAGAGGACATAAGTAAAATAGGCGAATTTAAGAGAGAATTAGATTTAGGAGTAGAAAAATTAAAAAATAATTGTGAAAGCGTAGATAGCCTTGGAACATTAAAGGATAGTTGACTAAGAATAAGAGGACAGTCTATAGAATTATTGCAAAGTTTAAATAAGAACATAATTGTACAGATAAATGTACGTGAGGCAAGAGAAGTAATACCAAATTCTTTTAGTAAAGTGTTGTGGTCAAAGCCACGTTCAGGGTAAATTTTATAGGTTTTATAATAAAGATATTTCAGAAATTTTCACTAAACCTTCTCTATCGCATCAGAGTTGTTGATTTGATGAGGATACCAAATAATCGAACCATATTCTAATTTTGAACGTACAATAGAATAGTACATGCAAAGAAGCGCATTGGTAGATTTAAATTGTTTACAATTTCTCAGTATCAAACCTAAAGATTTGTGTGCTCTATTACAAATATCAGTTCTATGATCCGTGAAAAACAAACCAGAATCAAATAAAACTCCTAAGTCTGATATTTTATTACATCCATCAATGCTGGTGTTAGAAATTTTATAATCAAAAAGTATTGGAACGCGCTTATATGTAAAACTAAGAATTTTGCACTTTGATATATTTAAATGTAATTTGTTATAGACACACCAAGAGTGGAAAGAGTCAAGTTGAGATTGTAATAATAAGCAGTCATCAATAGAATTTATTTTGAGATATAGTTTGAGATCATCTGCAAATAATAAATGTGGACAGCTAATAATTTCATATGTCATTAAAAAAAATAATGAATAGTAGTGGACCAAGAATGGATCCTTGAGGAACACCTGAACTGATATTTTCAATGTTGCTCAAGAATCCATTAAGATACACAAACTCTTTATGATTATGAAGATAACTCTTAAATAAATAAATAAGTGAAGAATTAAGACCAATCTTAGATAATTTAGTTAGAAGAATGTTATGATCAATTTTGTCAAAAGCTTTACTGAAGTCAGTGTAAATAACATCTAACAACTTGTCCATTAGTGTCATGATTCTCAGCTATATATTGTTTAATACATATTAAATTTGTTATCGTAGAACGGGCAGGCATATATATATATTTTTTTCCCAGGTGGCGATGGTAATTCTTTTCCATAACCCATACGTAAAAAACTCAGGCATAATGGAAGACTTTTTAAAAATGTGTGCTTGCTGCCAAACCGAGGCTGAGATGGAAGAGTTTCTGCAAAAGATTCTAGTACTGCCGGATAAACTTTCACACCTTGCAAAACCCACATTTAAGTCTAAAGCTAAAGACGACAAGGTGGTTGGAGAGTGATTCTTAATAAAGTGAGTTGTAAAAAACATATTTTGAGACTTACAGTTTTGGCTAAAATAATTTCTCAAGGTTTTGATGTGATAAATAAGTGTATAAATATAAGAATGAAATACATTGCCATTTAGTTTTAAGAGTTTAGGGAATTTGTTTGTGTTATGTAGTGTGATGTAAATTTTTGATTGTTCTATATGATAGAACTAGAAAATAAACAATAACACTGAAGGTACTGACTCGATCAAAATTTACACAATATTTTACTTTAAGGAGGTATTTCTAGTGCTGAGACATTAATTTTTAGATCATTGTAAAAAAAAGGCTATCAACTTTTACACCATCATTTTTTTATATAATTTCTTTATCAACATTATTGAGAGTACAGAAAAAATTAAAACAGAACTAGTGGTGCATGGCATCGTGTCTTAAGGCAAATTGCTGGTACTTCTTGTAGCAAAAATTAAAATTTGTGAAAAAGTTTCAAATTTTTTTGAAAAATTTGAAACAAACGAGATTTTTGTGTTAAGTTTTTTTCATATTTTGAAATATTTTATTACAATTGACAAACATTGGTACGGAACCCATAGAAATGTTA